ACTCACGTTGGGCTCCCGCCCCTCCTGGTCCCTGATTGGCTGCTGCTGGCCCCGCCCCTCGGCGCCTCGGCCAATCCCGTGCTCCGCCGCCCGCAGCTCGGGCAGGGTCACGCCCTGGCCGGGGTCAGGGGTCACACAGGGGTCAGGGGTCACACAGGGGTCACCCAGGGGTCAGGGGTCACCCCGGGGTCACACAGGGGTCACCCCGGGGTCACCCAGGGGTCAGGGGTCACACAGGGGTCACACAGGGGTCAGGGGTCACCCAGGGGTCACCCCGGGGTCACACAGGGGTCAGGGGTCACCCAGGGGTCACCCCGGGGTCACACAGGGGTCAGGGGTCACACAGGGGTCACCCCGGGGGTTTTGGGGTGAATCCAGAGATTTCGGGGCGGTTTTGGGGCGATTTTTGGGGGATTTTTGGGGGATTTTGGGGCGATTTTGGGGCAGTTTTTGGGGTGATTTTGGGGCAGTTTTTGGGGTGATTTTGGGGCAGTTTTTGGGGTGATTTTGGGGTGATTTTGGGGCGATTTTGGGGCAGTTTTTGGGGCGATTTTGGGGCAGTTTTTGGGGTGGTTTTTTGGCAGTTTTGGGTCGGTTTTTTGGGTGATTTCGGGGTTATTTCTAGGGTGATTTTGGGCAGTTTTGTGGCAGATTTTGGGGCAATTTTGGGCTGTTTTGTGGCAGTTTTTGAGGCAATTTTGGACAGTTTTGGGGCAGATTTTGGGGTGATTTTGGCCGTTTTGGGGCGATTTTTGGGCAGGTTTTTGGGTAGTTTTTTGGGCAGTTTTTGGGTCGATTTTGGCTGTTTTTTGGGCAGATTTTGGGTCGATTTTGGCTGTTTCAGGTCATTTTTTTGGTCAGTTTTTTGGGCAGATTTTGGGTGGATTTTTGGTCAGTTTTTGGGGCAGATTTTGGGTGGATTTTGGCCGTTTTCGGTCAGGTTTTGGGTGGATTTTGGCCGATTTCGGGCAGATTTTGGGTGGAGTTTTGGTCAGTTTTTGGGGCAGATTTTGGGTGGATTTTGGCCGTTTTCAGGTCGGTTTTGGGTGGATTTTGGGCCGATTTTGGGCAGATTTTGGGTGGATTTTTGGTCAGTTCTTGTGCCAGATTTTGGGTGGATTTTGGCCATTTTCGGTCAGTTTTTGGGTGGATTTTGGCCGATTTTGGGCAGATTTTGGGTGGATTTTTGGTCAGTTTTTGGGGCAGATTTTGGGTGGATTTTGGCCGTTTTCAGGTCAGTTTTTGGGTTGATTTTGGCTGTTTTTTGGGCAGATTTTGGGTGGATTTTTGGTCAGTTTTTGGGGCAGATTTTGGGTGGATTTTGGCCGTTTTCAGGTCGGTTTTTGGGTGGATTTTG